TTGTCCTGGCAGATATTTCATCTTGAAGACCTCCTTCGCCAGAGATGCAACTTCTTAGGTACTTGAAGGTACTCGTTTTCTTGATTGGCTTCCCATCGATGTATATAGTTTCTGAAGTTTGACCTCCCACTTCCATATATTCTATCTTCTTTGTGTTGAGCCTTAAGCCATACAACCCTAATTGATCCTCCCATCTCTGTGTTTCTTCTTCAAGTTCTTTTCTGTTTTCTGACATCAACACCACTTCCTCTGCGTACAGGAAAGCTCATGGAGGCTGTCGCTTGAGACCTTCTGCCACTACATCCATGACTGTGGCGAAAAGTGTAGGAGAGAGCACCGATCCCTGATGCACGTCGGTTTTTATGCGGGATGGTTTTGACTGTCCTGCGAGGTTTGCACATGACTTGTGGCTCCGTGATAAATCATTTTATCCATTGGATGTATACTTCTGGAACCATGTGTTCGCAGTGCCCACCATATGACATCATAGGGTACCTTGTCGAAAGCCTTCTCCATATCAAGGAAAGCCGCGTGCCTCTTTCTTCGTTTTTCTCTAGACTTCTCCATCACTATCCGTACAGTATGGCGTCAGAAGTACCGCCACCTTTTACAAATCCGCACTGATTGGATGACAACTCTATGATCGCTCGAAGTCGTGTTTCAAGTACTCTTTCGAAGATCTTCAGAGGGTGGCTCATCAGCCGAATTGGCCGATACATTGAACAATCTGCGATATCGCCTTTATTTTTCCATATCGAAATCGTTGTACTCCAATCATGGGACATGCTCTTAGCTTTGATGACCTGATTGAAGAGGCCTGCAAGCCATGAAGCACCGAGATCCGCATTTTTTCCAGAATTCGCTTGGTATTTCATCTGGGCCAGAAGCGTTGCCGTTCTTTATCCTTGCTATGGCAAGCCATACTTCCTTTGCTATTATGAGTGGTACTGGTCCTTTCACAGGGTCACCTGGGGGGATGGTTGTGCCAATGCTGGTAGTAGACGACATCTCTTCGAAGTATGTTCGCCATCTCTCAGTTATTTCCTGTGCTCCTCTTAACATTTTTCCAAGCTTATCCTTCACATGGTAGAAGTGTTCCTTATGTGTTCATTATCGATATTCAGTAGTTTCTCTTTATCTGAAAATTTGTCTGAAAATCGTATGAAAATCCGTTAAAGAGAATCGTCTTCTATTTAATCTCTTTTGCATCTTCAATCGTATTTTTCTAATTATGATTATTTCAAAATCCTGACTTCCAATAGCACGCTTTCTCTGTTTGAATATTATAATGATATTTAGACTGTTTTTCTTCTGAATAGCAAAAGCTAGCAACCTTACGTGTTATGCATTGTGGGCAATATTTCAAATAATTTCGTTGTGTTTGATTCAAATCGATCCCCTTATATCTGAAATCTTTTTCACTGGCCTCTAGTTTTTGTAGGAGATTTGGTTTCAGGAGTTATGCTAAACTTGTGAACATTAGGTCCTTGGCATAGCTCAGCCCTCCTCATCCGGTTTAAAATTTAAAACAGCTTCTCAATTTTTTGTGTAGTAATTCTCTGATGGCTTGTTTATCCGAGTAAGTCTTCTGAATCCTCTTGCTTTCAGACTTTATCCTGACTTAGATTCCTTTAAATAAGTTGTTGGTGCCATCGGTTTCTTTAGTCCGTCTATGCTCGCTTCTTTTCTTAGTATAGTGATTTATGGATATGCGGCT